TATTATTATTACACATCACCTTGGTTCTCTCCTCTGCGGGGTCTATGACGACCAGTGCCCCATGCAGACCGTCAGATCGTAGACTCCCCAGGTGGGCGTGGTACCAATGGGTCCCGGGGGGATAGGCTATGAACCTAGTAATTGAAGGTGTTTGATTAGCAAAAAAATAATATTTTCTTAATTCTAATTATTATTATTATTATTATTATTATTATTATTGTCAAATTACAATGTTATAGTGTGTGATATTAGATGTCATCTCAATAAATGCGCGCTCTCTCTCTCTCTCACACACACACACACACACACACACACCTCTGCCCGCCCTGCTTTAAAGCCCCCGGATAAGGCGAAAAGGTAAAATTGAGCGAAAATAGCAAATTACATACTGAATAAAAGTTATCCCCTTACATAAGTTAAGGTGCGGCAAATGGCAACAATTTAAATGAAAATGAAAGAGGGATTACGTTCTCCATTGTGGCTAAGCATTATGAGACATATCTGGTGTGATTGATCTTATTTACTAAAATCAGACTATATTTGCAGGAGATCTGTGACAACCCTGTGTTTATACAGGAGAACGCCACTAGTTTTAACCTGTACCAAGGCAAAAGTGGTAAGTAATCACGGAAAAACTAATAAAATGTAATAAGGTTGGAAAAATGTACTTCTGACTTCTGTAAAACTATCCAGATTAGTCCATGAGAACACTGAAACTAATTTGATCATTGCAGATAGTTGCTGTTTTGCGGCAGCTGCAGCTTTACTCGCCACTAAAAGATTACTCTTTAAGTCGGTTGTGCCGCCAGATCAAAACTTTGGCGGGAATTATACAGGTATGTGGACGTGAGCCTTTAAAAAATGCACCATCAATTATACACCAACTTTTAGCAGTTAAACTAATATTGCATGCTGAGGACGTCTAACATTCTAAGGTGTAGCAAAAATACTTAGAAGAAGCATTTTCGGACGCTAAATAGCATAAAGGTCACTTTTCTGTGCAGCTACGCTAATGGTTAGAAAAAGAGGTATGATTCAGTTAATTTCGAATCTTAGAATAACGTGTCTCTCACTGACTATGCACAGATGATATTTTTAAAAGCATCTTTAAAAAAGCGCCTTCACCTCAGAAATAATGTTGACTTGCCGCCATGAGCTGCCCAGTGTGAACATAGGATAGGCAAAGAACTCTTACCTGGATTTTCTCAATTATGAAAGATATGCTCTCTTTCAGCGGGGCCCGCAGAGATACATGGTAACATGTCTTACCTGGCCCGTGGCGCGCAGCAGACGTCTTACTTTGTTGATTATTGTATTACAGAATATTGGATTTCATCACAGATACCACCTGATGCAAATCATTAACAACTATATGACCTTTTAATTTTTTTTCTTTCATGAGGAATATTCCATTTTTATCTCTGGCGGTATGGAAAATGGCGGGAAGTGATCATAGACGATCGGTTGCCCCTTGGCAAAGACAAGAAGCTGTTATTTTGCCAAAACCAAGGAAATCCGGAGGAGTTCTGGTGCGCTCTTCTGGAGAAAGCTTATGCCAAGTAAGCCTTTCTATTCGATACATCTGAAAAGATAGAGTTAAGACTGTCCTAAGGGGCATGCCTGTCGTGTTTACCTATATTTAGCTCTCTACTTTGTTGACTATGCTTGTCGGCTTAAGTGGAACTTGGAGTGAATCATTTAAAGAAACACATGCTTTCTAAAATCTTACATCATAGACATTTATGTATACGATTAAACCCGTATCCTCTTGTCAGAATAACGGCGATAAAGGAACTCTGCAGTCTCTTGTCATTCCAGCAGAGAAATCAAGCAATGAAGATACTTGTTGCAAACTTTATTTCCTTCAAAATAAAGAAATATGTAAGAAAACAGGAGAGATACCTGTTAGCCAGGTTTGGCGCTCTTACATTAGATTAATACTGTATGTCCGATAATTATTATTAATTCATTCAGTGTAACCGTTTACTTACAGGCTCTGTGGCTCATACAGCGCTATAAGCTCACTGTTCGCCAGAGACATAATGGTGGATTTTACTGGTGGTTTTCCTGAATCATACAACATAAAAAAGAAAGCAAAACTCCCTAATAATCTCTTCGACTTGTTAAGAAAATGCGGTAGCAAAGCCGCCATTCTTCAATGTGGGATATGGGTTAGTTTGGAAAAAAACATTGTGCATTTGGAAGTGGTTTACGACATTTACTAAAACAATCGTGTTTTTGTTAGTTTGTCTACTGTACTTTTTGTGTCGAAGAAAGGCATCATCAGACCATTTGCATATTTGTCACTTTTTCACACTTTGAAAATGTATAAAAAAACAGTCGAAGTACACTGTACATTGTCTCGTTATTTATTTTAAGTTGAACGCAACTATTCCCTAACATTCTCTTCACACAGCCGGACAAAGGTGAGACCATTCCCATGAGTTTACCGACAGGACTCTATACAGGCCACGCCTACAGTGTGACGTCAATGAAACAAGTGAGGGCTACTGTGACAGATATGTCACTGTCTTCGGCCCCATTCAGAATGGGGGATCGACTAAGTAGTCCGAGGGTCATATATGGCCGACTCACTCGAATACTTCCCCCCGGGATATCTATTCAGCGTGTATTAGCGGATTAAACGGCAAGCTTTATAATGAGTCTCCATATTTGACCCTCGGACTACTTAGTCCCCTATTCTGAATGGGGCCTTAGTAGACAGATTTGAAGATTCTTACAGATATCGTGATTTGATTTAGTCACGCAATTCTTTTCGATTTGAGAAAAATATTGACATGTGTTTATTGAGTTGTCTGCCTCATGCCAATTTTGATATCAAATGTCCGTGGTCTTTCAATTTTATGAAACACAAATTGTTACGGCGTTTCCTTCCATCGAATTAAAGTCAAATTTGCGTTGAGGACTTTGATGAAACAGTTACATGTGATGTCCATTTACTTGAATTACATTTTATCTTTCCAGATTCAAGTCAACGGGACACCTACCAGACTGGTGAGACTGAACAACCCGCAGGGTCAAACAGGCTGGAAGGGGGCGTGGGGGGAGACGTGAGTGTTCCAACAGCCGTCACAGTCACGTTGCGTGGTCTTTCTGGGACCGAAACTATATTGCTGACAATATATAGTGTCTTTCCTTTTAACCTAATATGACCTATTTACGATCCGTATTTGCAAGATATTTACAGCCCTAAGTTTTGTTCTCTTCTACATGTACATTCTTGATGAAAAGGGTAGTATTTTATTTGAAAAATTTCTACACCAAGTTATAATAATCGTAATTATAATAAAATTATTATTTACAGAACCTTTCTCATACTATATTTTTTTCGATGAGTTATTGCCATTTGCATCTTTTCACGTAATTGATATTGTGACCTGACGTTGTGGTGTTGTGACATGAAGTTGCGGTGTTGTAACCTGACGTTGCGGCGTTGTAACCTGACGTTGTGGCGTTGTAACCTGACGTAGTGGCGTTGTAACCTGACGTAGTGGCGTTGTAACCTGACGTTGTGGTGTTGTAACCTGACGTATCTCTATTGTAGATCTAAGGAATGGCAGGCCTTCACGCTCGTAGATAAAGAAAGTCAAGGAGTGAGGTGCAATGACAACGAATTCTGGTAAACCACTGCTTCACATGTTTTAATTAGTATAGTTCATCTTTTATGTGATAGATGGTAAGGTATATATTGTACACTCATGTTGTTGGAACTTCAAAAATGCTCCTGGGATTCACATTAGAGTGACGTCCACTACCCTGAGTATTATCACGGTTATTTCAGGATGACCTTTGACGACTGGTTGAAGAACTTTGAAATTCTGGACATAATACACATGAGAAATAAGGAGGCAAGTTTTCGGGCAATTTTAAAAATCAGGAAAAACCTGAACCATAACCAAATCTGTATATATTTACGTCACAGTATTGATTTATCTACAGAGCTAAAAAGATGAATGAAAAATTATTTTCAAAAATAAGTAAAAATTGAAAACTAATATATGAATTATGCTTTTATAAAATTGTGCTGTTGTCTCAGGCTAGGGGTACTGTGTTTTAGGAGGAGGTAGTATGGCAGAGTGCTCTACACTATGGGGAGTGGGTCCATGGCGTCACAGCCGGAGGAGGAGGAAGTAACCCAGCTCAGAAAGGTGAGAGAAGAAATCCGGATTAAAACACAACCTTTACTTTTTATGTGTGCATAGCACATGGCATATCAGTGCAAAGACCAGTTGTATCCTGCACAAAAAACTCGTTTTATTGTACATTTCTGTTATTTTGGCATAATACTTTTCTTACACGACAATATTGCCAGACCTTCCTAAGATGAACTTTTTATGCCATTCATAGCATTTATTAACCCTATTTATTTACACCCGAGTCATTTTCTCATAGGTTATTTTGTGTAAAGAGAAATGTGTCGTTTTCAAATTCTGGAAACGAGGTCCCTGCGTGGATAATGACTCGTATTCCTCCACGCCTGTCACTTTTCCAGAACTCTACTTTACCAACCCTCAATACCAAATGACTATCCGGCTGAGAGACGCCGACGAACACAGCACAATTTGCACCTGTCTCCTGTCCCTGATGCAGATTCTCCCGCCTCAACGCGACCTCTTCCTCGGCTCCAAACCATCCTCGCATCTTATCTTCTTTAACGTGTACCAGGTACGGAGTAGTTCTTCTACAGGGTTGTTAAGAATCCTGCTAACTTCAGAACTTTTGGTAAACCCTGTAAGTAAAAGGCATCTTGGAGAATGCGGAAAGATTTATGTAAAGCAATTGTTGTTGCTTCTTGCTTTATGTTTCCTTTTCAACTTTGGACTTTTGGGAAAATGTGTCAATTTTTACGTTACCAAGGGTTCCAAAATCATTATTGCAGTCAATGCCGGGCAGTAAAATATTTTTTCTCTCTTTTTTGTTTATTTATTATATTTGTCACGTTTCTATTGTTTTCTATTGTTCACCTATATTTGCATTCTGTACCCATTTTTGTTGCTTTTGTTACTTTATCACCTCTTATTTTGTTTTCATTTAAGTTAAGGCAAGTCTATTTCTTTATATCTTATTTTGTTCTGTTTCATTATGTTGCATAAATAATTTTACAATGATATGATGTTACTTTCCTCTTGAGATATTTTCAAATACCTGTAAGTAGACTGTCAACCTTGTTAATGTCAATAGGTTTCAGTATACACCATTTTATGGCATTTTCTGGTTCTTTAAAAGTTCCGTTTAGATGTTGCAAGAAATCTGTCGTACTCTAGCTATAACATATAATAAGATAGCATATTATAGATATTTGCAGATTACAACTATGTATCCAATGATGGTGTCGCTCTAGAGGCAGACATGCCCCTCCTAACGACATTGTATACATTACGTACTGCATTTAGTTCGTCAAGAAAGTATCATTACGAAAAGTGGAAAAAATGAAACCTGTCAGAAGTGTATGAGGTCGTTTCTTCTAACACCTTGTCTTAACATTCAGATCAAGGACGGCGTTGCTGAGCCGTTTAATGAAGACAACTACTCCGAACGCGCATCCGCCGTCTATCAACTCCAAACCAATGTCGTTCAGCGCGAGGTGACGTGTCGTCTGCGTCTAGAACCTGGAGTTTACTGCCTCATTCCAACTACTCAGAAAACTAACCAGGAAGCCGATTTTCTTCTCAGAATATGGACTGAAAAAGAAATACATTCCTGGTAAATGTGTTTATCAAGTTATTTTTTCACTTTTCTTTATAATTGAAGTTCCTAATTATTTCGTAATCCTTTAAAGCTTTCAAGAATGGTAATTGAAAAAATGATAGCAGCAATTTTTTTCTCGGCGTATTCATTATAGATTTTATTTTCAATCAGTCTGACTCCCTTTATGAGAATTCCTGTTTTCTACGTATTTTATAGTTGTACTTATATCCATGTCAGTGATGCCATGGCTGTTTATAGAAATTAGATTTATGGAACATCTAATAAAAGAGCCATCATGAGATTTCTTTGCAATTTCAGTTTAGTTGACGAAACGACGGGCCCCTATCAGCCGAAGGTGTCTACCTCCATCCCGGTAAGTGTGTTTTTTATTAACAAGAAGTCAAGATATTTTGCATAACATAACATAACGTAACATAATAATGATAATGTTATAGTGACAACAACGACGATCTGGAGCTTCAGATATTTATTCCCCACACTCAATTTTTCACAGAATCTACAAGTATTTATATTCTATTTTCCATTCTCATATTTCCCATTCTCATATTACAAAATTCTATTCAATATTTCCTAATTCAGTAATTTAAATGAGACTTGTTTATGATTTAAAATATTTAAAATATTTTCCGAATTACTCATCTTGGATCCTGTCCAACTCAAGTATGCACGAGTTCTACACGTGTTAAACACGCGCAAATCGATAGAAAAATTAACCAATCAGATCCAACTATATCTGACTCTGAAAGGTTCCACCCTTTCCTTCTTCAAGAACAGTCTCTACACTCGTTGACACTTTAAGACATTTACTTTGCACTCAATAACTTCCTACACATTTTAAATGTTTTGTAATTATCGAAAGTGTATGTCATTTGCTTTCAAAATACACCCCTTCTCCAAAAGAAATCGTCCTCGAATTCTAAAACTTTACAACAACAATAATAATAATAATAGTAATAATAGTAGTAGTAGTATTTTTTTTCAAATGTTGATTTTCTGCCACGAATAAAAAGTCTTCGCAGAAAAATGTTAAGTCAAAGTAATGGTCAATAAAATCCACACAGATTCTAGTTTTCTAAGCATGGTTATTTTTTTCAGTTGGATGGTGAGGATTCTAGCGTCCCCGAGAATTATTTAGGTCTCTCAAAGGATGTGTTCTTTAAATACGGTGGCCTGGAGGGGGCAGTAGACGGACGCGATCTACGGGTTCTCATTAACCATCTCTTCAGGAAAGGTAAGAGAGATGTTCCTTATATACCAAAACTAACTTGCTGCTTGATATATATTGCAATGTCTATTCTATTGAATCAGTCATGTTTTTTTGTTCTAACATTTCAATACAATTGTATTGTTTTTATTTCAGATCTTGGAGACAGCGGAGGCTTCACCGTGGAACCGTGCCGCTCCTTGTTGTCTATGTTTGACGTATCTTTTGACATCTGGATTATTATTATTATTATTATTATTATTATTATTATTATTGCGTTGAGGTGAACAAAGCTGTGATATGCCACGTTAAACGTCAGACCCAATATTGATAATTTCTACAATCCATGAACTCTGTATGGTACAATAAGCAAAACAGAAAAAACAACAAACGTATGCGATATACTGAGAGACCATTCCCACAGATATTTGGATCGATCTATCTCCCTATTAAATTGTTATCAGCTTAACCGGTTTAAATGTCTGTCCCGCCTACTAAAGCTGTTATTGGATAATTATCTTTACCTCCTAGCTGATTCGGTAGGCGTGACAGACATTTAAGCAGGTTAGTTGATAGCAATTTAGTGAGACTCCCCAGAGAGTTAGACCGATCCAGATGGATCGATCTAGGTATGTGAACCCAGTCTAAGTAACTTTAAAAAAAATTTTTTTAAACATTTCCTGAACACAGGTTTCAGGTCGATTCAGTAGGCTATCTGAACTTTGATCAAACGTCAAAACTTTGGCAGCTTATACGTCGTTGGCGGGTAGGTGTAATTAGTTAACTTACCAGTATCACTTCTCTGAATAAGATTTAAAAATAAGAAAATAAGTGGAATGTTCAGACTCTGATAGTGCCGAGCGTGTGTTTCTTGTTAAACCTTGATGCATACCAGGGCCGTAGCCTCCGGGGGGCAGGGGGGGGCAGCTGCCCCCCCTGGAATTTGGAATTTTACACACCACACCCTTCGCCCCCTCGTGTCCGCTTACTGCCCCCCCTGGCATTTTGCTCAGGCTACGGCCCTGCATACATTTTGCGTTCTTGAGTGTGTGTGTGTGAGAGAGAGAGAGAGAGAGAGAGAGAGAGAGAGAGAGATGGTGGAAGTGACGGAACGCTGTTAAAGTACTTGCTCTTTCAGTCATATAATTCTTGTTTTCACACAGGCCGTTTTCAAGAGGTACGACACATCTAGGTCAGGACTCATTGAAAGCTTTGAAGTTCGCAAACTATTCAGAGATATTGGTAAGTCTCTTCCGGTATGTATGCACGTAGATGGACAGACATGTAGTACATCTTTAAATGTTTACATTCAATTTGCTTTCGATTAGTGAAATGATACTAATTGACACATGCATTTCTGTTGAAATATATAATGAACAGATGCGATCGAAAAAGAGAATTTAACTTAAATGCTTAGCAAACCACTGTCTTATAAATAATTATCTCGGTCTTTAGGTTTTCGACTAAACACACCCACAGTCACCGTAATAATTAGGAAATACGGGGGCAAACAGGAGAACATCAATTTTGAAGATTTTGTTCTGTGTGCCGCTAGGGTGCATACGTTATACAGTGAGTAGACTATCTCTACAATGTTGTGTCTTATTTATTATTTCTTGTTTGTGAAAGACGCATTTATTATCAAGTATTCATAAAGATTTACATTTCTAAGTATGTTGAACTGAAATTATTTCTCTTCTTTTTGCAAAGTACAAATTAAAAAAAAAAGAAAGTTTATGGGTGAATGCCACCTTTACATTTCAGTATTCACACGCCTTTTTGTTGGTTGAATAGGTTTTTAACGTGCCTCCAAAACATTCAAAGATTTAGAAAATTGATTGTTAGTTATCAGTCGGCACCAGTATTTTTATAGAATGGTGTTTTACAATTATCTAGACAATATTTGGTATTTATTCAGGCAGTTATAAGAAATACAGTAAAAGAGGTCTTGGAGACGATGCCAGGCTGAACATGGAACAGGTAAAGTTGGCTAAAATTCTGGCTTAATACATAGCCGTAAAAAATAAAATGAAACGTCTAAGCACTGATGACCGGCTTCATTGGTAGTATTGCTGATAGTTTTTTTTTTATTGCGCTTTCTTTTGAATCAATAATTTCAAAAAAATGTTTGGTATTAGAAAAATACATCGCACATTGAAAACTGTTATTTATTGGAGTTACCCTATAGTTTGCTTTTATTTCAGTGGATGCAAGTGGGTATGACACAGTGACGTGGGGAAGGGTTTAGCACCATGAGACTTTGGGACGGTCACTTGTGTACTGATGAAGTGCCATGCTAGCTCATTTTATATAACTAACTATCATAAAGAGAAACCCCTAGTACACCGCAGCAATGCAGCAGATGCACTTTTAATTGAATTATTGTGAGCAGACGTTTTTGTGACATTATTATTATTTATTAAATCCCTGATATAGACACGAGGCAGAAGAACGTTTACATATTTTTATTTATTATATGTTAACATATCATTTATTGTTTAAGTTTTAAGCAAGGGACAGTTTATGGGGTTCTCCTTTTGTTAACTCTTTCCATCTCTTTTCAAAAAGTTTGACTAACAGGCCCTGTACGTGGAAAAAATCTTCTGAATAAACCAATCAATATGAAAGCTGGGTCCTTGTAAGGGAAATTAAGGTAATAAACTTTTGTACATATTTAATAAAGTCGAAAAAATTGTGGTTGAAAGGTAAGAAAAACTGCTTTAAGATTTCTTATCCACGTTGTAAACTGCATATATCGTCCATACTTTCCATATTTTCAAATTTCATGTATCTACGTATCAATCAAGACCTTGAAAACGATAAAACCCCTTCAATAAAAGTATATGATGTCGATATTTCTATGTGTTATGTACAGGAAGACATGGCGGTGTAAGGGACTGGCCAGTCGTTTAGAACTAAATTATTTAATTAGAAATTAAATAAAACATCGAATCCAAGTACATGGACGGCGATTCATCGAATTGCTTGTTTTTTTCGATGAAAATTTGATTTGTCGGGAAAATCCAGGTTAAGAGGTTAGGATACCTTTAAGGTCCTAAGACATATTTTCAGTGACGGTCGTGTGTGAAATCCCACAAACTGTCCCTTTAATAGACGTTACCTAGGCAATATCATAGCTGAATATTTACTGTTTTAGAAATATCATAACATCTAAACACATTTAATGAATAATGGTCGCACACAATGATAAAGTTTTAAAGATGGTTAAAAAAGATATTAGATGAAGGATGTGGAATCCATCTTTATTTACCCTGCCAAATAGTTGCCTGATATGAGACGCTGGTACCCCGCTATGCCGTGATATGACTTACTCTTGAAAACAGGACACTAGGACATTGCGGCTCAGCAAATCTTTAACGAAACGATATTTTATTTTAGCAAATTACGTAGGTTTGCTTAGCCTATTCGCTGTTGGTCTGTTGGCTTATAGCTAGCTAAGAAGTATCTCTTTCTCATTGTGATATCCAGTTATAAATTGATAAAGTGTTCTAAAGAAAGTCGGCTATATTTGTTTGATGTCCTCCTTCATCGGCTCATCTGTGTCGGCTGTGTGGTCACTGTTCGAACTGAAAACAAAACGGTCCCCCAAAATTAAAAGTCTCAATAATTGCTCAATAATTGTTAATGGCCGTGAAGCCAGAATCTTATTAAAAAACAGTTTTTAAAGCATTATCAATAAGAAATTGTATCTAAATGTAACAACGATCGTCTTACAAATCCTAACAACATAAATAACAACAGCGATCTGTTGTTAAAAAGAAAACTGTCTACTAATTTAACCAGTCATTAAGTAAAAGCGTCTCATACATGATTTTAATTATTCAGTTACATATCGAGTAACATCCAGTGTAGAAAATAATGACACAGGCACGCACGAACGAGCACACACACACACACACACACATACACACACACACACACATACACACACACACACGCACACACACACGTGAGACCTGTCCTTACCTGGAGAAACTCTGCTGTGGTTCCTGTCCGCGGCACATCCCCATAACATGTCGTGTACCCCTCTCCTCACTGTGTCACTCTTCCAGCAGTAGACCACTGGGTTGATGGCGCTGTTAGCATAGGCCAACAACTTGACAGAAAACTCGATGTGGTGAAGATACTTGAAATACGATAGCCTCAATGACGAAGGAACCTACAATATTAATGATCATAAAAAGAAAATAAGGTCTTTTTGTAAGATTTAATGGGGGGGGGGGGATAATACTTTTTGCCTCCTTTTTATGACACTTTTGCAATATCTCAAATAAATTAAGAAAGGTACACCAGGAGCGTCCGTCTAGATTTTTTAAACCAAAACGATTTCGATCCTTTACAAAAGGTGTTAAAAGATCTTAAAAGAAACCCACACAGGCATGTTCCATGTTCTAACTGCAAATTGTCATTTTTTTATTAATCACTCTTATCCTGACATCCTGCAACGTACGGTATAGTACCTGTGTATTGGATAATACCACAGCTTTTTTGTTATGGCGTTATTGCCAGCTAGCCTCTACGTTAGAGAGCACTCCAAACCCATGTCGCTGAACAGATCTGACAAGGAAGGGCATTTGATAGTACTTCTGACACAAACACAAGAAGGTATTTTTAAATGTTAAAACACGCTATTGTTGGGCTGTGTCACATTAATCCGTATATTTCTCCTGAGAACGTCATATCTCACCGCGCTGGTGGGCGTGGTCCTGTAGATATCCCAAACCATCAGAATCTGGAGTGGAGACCACGTGATTATGAACACTACGAACACGACCAACAGCAAATGGACCAGCTGGAATAGAAATATCAGTAAGCTATTTACAGAATATCTATCATAAAATCTGGAATTTGTAAAAAAATTTCCCCCTTTTTAGAGTTATTCTTTGGAATTTATTGCTTGTCTTTTATTGGTATAATACATAATATTGACATTTTAAGATGAACAACAGCCAAAAAAAAAGTGATACGAGATGCCTTGCTTACAAAATGCATTTACAAAACTAAGTAGCATTTCATATAGTGTAATATCGCAGTACCGTCCCTATTTTTGTCCCGGAACTTACCTTTTTCCTCGCAACGTTGTGGACGCCCACAAAAATGCCGTCTGGATCACGTGTAGGAGTTTCTCGCAGTTTCCACAGTGTGTGAGAAACCATGGCAACGATGGCAACAACTGGAAAAACATAGGAGACCACAAAATACACTGTCCCGTAGGCGCGCCTCTTTACCTCGTGTCTCAAGACTATACATTCTGAAGTTGAGGGGCCAAACGTCCACTTGAACTGCACGTGCCTCATGATGAACACCCAGGGTAAGGAGATCGCCACGGACAGCGTCCATATCACAGCCAAGACCACGAAAACACAGTATGGCTTGCGCTGAGTTATGAATCTTCGCCCGGTGTACATGGCGGCAACAAACCGATCGAAGGCCATAGCCGTTACCGTCAGTATTCCACAGGTTTTTAATGTACCTGAAAAGGTGATTGAAATGTTTATATCAAGCAGACATCAAGCAACACATTAAAAAGACATAAATAATTAAAATCTTTTAGGTATTTTTGTGTTTTATTGAAAAATGTACAGATTTTTACCAAACATTGAAACGCAGAGCACAAAAGCCAACACAACATATAATGCAAGTACAAGCTTTGTTTGTACTTATTTTCATAATACTTAAAGAAATAAACAAACAGAAAATAATTAACTTACTGGGTAAAAATGCACTTCCAATTTTGCACAAGACGGGTCCGAGCGGCCATTTCCAAGCTGGGTAAATACTGGTTACCATGGTGACCCACATACACAGCGTCGCCGTCAACAGATCCGTAAGCGCCAGGTTAATCATATAACAATTGTACACTGTTCTCAACCTTTTGCTTCTTAAAACTGTTAGAATCACGACACCATTCCCGCCCACTGTGACCACCATCAATATCCCAAACAATATCACCTTGACAACCAGCTCTAATGGGGAACTGTTTTCTCGACCAAAAAGTTTATCCAAAATGTCTAAATTTGCGGAGGAGTTTTCGACCGAGAAGTTTGTCATCTTGAAAGAACTACGCCATAATCTTGAATGTGGACACTGCTGCGTGGTTTACGATGTGCGTCGAGTACACTGTGAGTACACTGACAACGGAGAACCAAGTCAGCTTAGACAGTATATACAAGTACTCCGAGCAACACGTAAGATTTCACAGTAAAGTAAACGGAGCCCATCTGTCCAGTGACTTGTGGATTGTGCACTAAGAAAAGAAGTGCAGTTTTAATATATCTCAGCCACACTTAATATTAGAGGAATCGATTTCCCTCTGATGATGGGAGGCGTTTGTTTTGTTATATAATTCAAGATTGTCAGGGTGAATCATGGAAATTGCATATTAGTTGACGTAGATTTTTTCAGAAAATGTTAGTCTACAAATCAACCGGAAATATTCTTAAGGAGTTTTTATGGCTTCTACTCCATTGCCTAGGAAAGGTATAAAACATTATTGAGAAGGGCACTGACGACTCTTTCTGACACCTGTGTTTCATGCGTTTTAATAACGCTGACATTTCCGTGTTTAGCGAAGATTTTATTAAATATTTGTCTCTGTGGAGGACTCAGATTTTATTACATAGATGTTCATGAATAATTTCAGACCAGTTCTTGTATATAGTCAACAAAATTATTTTCCATGAATTTTTATAATTTTAAATCACTGCAACATACAAAAAATGTTTCAAAGAAATAACATATAAAAACCATAATGGAAATCAAAAGTCACAGGTATTCTTTATAAATATCTGGAGTGCACAGAAGATGCCATTACAAGCTTAAAATACAAGGAAATTGTTTGCGGTATTAATTCTTATTTATTACGACTTAAGTAACAGAAAAAGTATATTTCGAAAAGATGCGATACCTGTCAATAATGACAAGGACAAAAAATAAGGTCTTGAACTTGAATCAATATAACTTACTACTTCGTAGGGACCCGTATCTCGCTATTCATTGTAAAGAAATTAGCCTTTGGATAAAATGACGCCATATATTTTTATTTACACTATATTCTTATTTGGTACCACACAAGAAGGTGCGGTACCAGCAGGTTGCGCACCACAGGGATAATTCACTTTCCACTGCTTGGAAGTCCCCTCACTTGTACGGGTAATACAGAGATTACTTTTCTCATCAGGAATGTCTTCCGTGTCTGCCGTGTGACCGACGTCGGTGGCCCCAGGGCGAGACGACACGTACGATATCCGAATTACCGTCTCGTTTTCTTCTACTAACGATTCCAGCGGAAGCTGCGACTTTCGCCGGACTTTGACCTCACGGAAATCAATCTGGAGCTGTCCCGCCTGTCCGCCTTCCTCGGGGTTCATTCCATTCCCCAGCTGATCCGAGGGCCGAGCTGAAAATACATCTCAAGTTTTAATATTGAACTATTTTACTTCTGTTTTAGATTAATTACACTGATAGACAATGAACTGACAATTTAAAATACAAATTCAAAACATGACGACAAAATTAAGCATATATGAGAAAAAAATGAGAGAGAGAGAGGACTCACTAGGCTCCACCCTGTTAGCGGTCCAAATAGCTCTGAAAATACGAGCAAAACCTCGGCGGAAGTTTTCGTTCAGTCCGCCATACATTACAGGGTTCAAGGCGCTGTTCAACTGGGCGAGATAAAACACGGCAAACTTGATGCGCTTATCAAAATCTTGCTGGAAACGAAACAAAAAATGATTAACTAATTTTAATTCAATATTTTTCAACATGACCTTTCATTATTCATGAAACCACGTCAGATTTTGACCCCACTAAGCCCGCTAGACCTTCATTATCTTTTACAATGCTGTCTACTTCAGCATTACTGCAACGATCATAAAAACCAATAGGTGTATTTTAAAGGGATAACAAATGTTCATTTTGGTCAAAAAATGAATTTTCCTGGGGTAAAGGACAACTTTCCCATACTTACCAATGGATGGTTAATGAATCCATTCCCACTTTCAAAGTTAGTCCCTGTTTTTTAATTAATTAATTTTTTTTCTAAAAAGTTTGGTTTTTCGTAATATTATCTTAAGAGATTATTACAGAGTGTAGCCATCTATGGGATTCATGTGACGTGATGGCAAGCACAAATTCCAGAATAATTGAGTTAACAGCCGTTTTGGGGTAAAATAGAATTCATTATATTTTTATGAGTTGTTTACAATGTATTTATTGTGAAATATGGATATCTTAAGAACAGTTGTTATCCCTTCATTGATGGGTCAGATATATCGCTGGTCCTGCTATATATCGACAAAGGTGGGGTCTGTCCTGTCCCCTGTTTACCTGGTGCTTTATGTGATCCTTCCTGACCTGGGTGTTGGACCTGTCTCTGTAGAGGTCAAACAGAACGATAGCTTGTTCTGGCGTCCAGCAGACGATAAACGCCACCAGGACCACTAGTAACATACGAATCACCTGCAACATTGACATTACCCCTTCATGTGTGATATAGACATTCACGGGGACGATAGAAATCTTCATTTTACTATGCTGTTGATCAAACATGAGAAAATTTAATTAAAATGTATTAATATTTGAGTGAGAACAATTGAGAGCTGTTTCATCTTATGCGTTTTTAAAGCAATCTTGTATTTAAACACCAAACAAAAGGCAATTACACGTTAAACATACTCTTATTAAACCTAAAACTAAATCTTTTAAGATAAAAACCTCAAGACCTCTGAATCTTGGGGGTGATGCTTACTAACCCTTTTCTTGGCTTTATTACGTGACGACCTCACGGAGTCTAACTGTACCCCCGGGAACTGTCTGTTCCACAAGGCACAGCCTATCATCAGGTAAGCCAGACTCATTACCAGGATAGGGCAGAAGTACATGACCACCGTCGTGAAAAAAGTATACGCAAATTTCCCAGGCGCCTCCGTGTTGCACTCGTGGTCAATGATATATTTCGGCCATACCTCCAGACACGAGACTTCCACTCTGTTTTTCCAGTGGACCTCGTACACGTCCCTGACGACCAGATGCGGGGACGCCACGGCTATGGAGACCAGCCAGACCAGCACCAGACAGATGGTGACACGGCGGTGAGTGATGCGACATTTCAGAGGATAGACTATGACGAAGAACCTATCCACGGCGATGATGGTCAGAGTAAGAACACTGCACGTCAGGAAAGTGACTGCAAGTTTGGAAGAAACACAAGACATATCAGGCCCGTAGCTAGTAATTCAAAAAGGGGCGTTCTTTTTGTGAAAAAGTGAACCTTTTACCATGAAACATTCATCTACATAGATAAAATTTTACCCAGAGGAGACCTTTTCCCAGTAAAATGGGGCGTCCTTTTGAATCCCCCCCCCCCCCCGGCAACGGATTTGCACGTGAATCAAGGAGTGATAATTGTACTCATTTAGACTTCTCTTAGTCAATGCTGATGGCTTATTTAGTAAATTCATTGGAAAGAACCCCTGATGCATATATTAATATACACTTAAAATACACTACGCTACCCAACCCCAATCACGATTTAAAGATACCATTTAGGCCCTATATATCAATTTCCTATTGATCCTGCATGATAAAAAATTACTCCTATTCCTAGTATTAATACGGTTGAATATTATTTTTTTTTAATTTTCTGTAATGTAACATTTTCCTTCATTTATCTTTAAACGCAAATAACACAGACTCAACCAGCCCATATCTACCTTCTAAAAACGTGCTCCCCTTACACACGCTGCTGTGAAACGGGTACTCCACGCTTATGGCCGCCCCAGCGTTCGTCCAAGAACATGTCAACACGACCAAGATGTCCGTCACCGCCAGGTTGACCAGATACATGTTGATCACTTGTTGTTTCATGGCTTTGTTTCTCATGACGATCACGATGACCAGAGCGTTCCCTATGATCCCGTGCAGGACCAGGAGTACGGTGACCAGTACCTTGACCACGACCTCCCACAGAGGGATGGCCGGACTGGACTGGTTGGGGATCAAGATTGTCCACTTGGGGTCCGGGGGATTGAAGGGCAGCTGTTCTCCCGGCTGAAAGGCACACCTGGGACCCGCAGGTGGCCATAGTGTCCCGTTCCTGGAGACGTTCACCATGGTTTAATGACAGGAGGCTTTTCGATCAAAGTATTGAGAAAACGCTGGCTCTCTTGCACTGTTCCTGCTTGGTTCCTTGAACACGCCGATTACCATCTACCTGAGTGGAAATACCGGAGGAGTATTCAACCCTGAAACCTAATAAATCGCTAACGATTTTCAAAACTCTGAGAAATCACCATGTCCTCGCTGCTGACGTTGACTGCATTTTGATTACAGCTGTGATAAATGAGCCAATACCGCACACTGGGAAAACTCTGTCTACAATAAACGTCGTCGTAAATAACCATTTCTCGCAATGGACTCCAACAACCTCTCCTATATTGCTACAATTAACTCAAGTGTTTGAGCGGACATAGCTCATTCCATTTGATTAATATTTTAGGTTTCTTAATTGCCAATATATTGCAGCCTAGAAGTGGTTTAAGACTGGCACGGAGCATTTGGAGACTAGGAAGATAAGAGTTATTTTGCGTCATCACCAGTTAAACGTTCTGTCAAGTTCAACGTGGAATAACACTCGAAGACGAGTCCTGGATGCAACGGACATATATAAGATATACTTAAAATCTTCATGTATTTTTAACAAAAGTTGCTTGAAGGTACCAAGCGCTTCACAAAATCACATCCCCTTGCTTGTCAATAATAAAACTATCGGGGACGCCACCCCAATCATGAAGGTCATATTCATCTTTTACCTCGTTTTGCTTAAACTTAAAAATTGGAAGGGTGGCACGCGCTGAAGTCGTTTACTGGCATTTATTACGGTACATTTAAGAAGCAACGTGATATGTTAGCAGCCAGTCGAAGTCAATTGCTTAATAACAACTCTAGAATTATGTGTGAGCGCAGTAATAAACGTACACGTCACAGATCAGAAGAATATGCAACGGATTCCTGCCGCAGTTGAACCAGTGTTCAATTTCTCAGTTGAAAGTTTTGTCCTTTAATGAAGATTTGATTTATAAAGCAATTGCTTAAATATATTTCGATAAAATTCGCAAAAAAAAAAAAAAAAAAAAAAAAAAAAATCGAGGCAAAAAAAAAAGTCAAAATTACCAAGAAGTCTTTATAAAATATTCATACATCAACATATTTACACATTAATGAAACTCGCGCTAAATAATCAGGTTTTAGTGCAAGTAAAAACAACAAGGACATGTTTAAAATGTTATTGCCTTCAGTTCTTTTATTTTACTTGTTCAAAATAGGAAGGGCAGACGAAGTATCTGTACCATGTACAGTGGTCTTCACCCATCAACATGGCAAATAATTGATTAATTATTGCAAAAACACAGAAAATGCCAGTGATAAATACTTGATAGTAAATGTTGTAACTTTATAAAAGAGCATCCTTCCAGTAATAGACTGCATTAATTACACAGTCATAACTGAAGTTGTAAAAAATGTCAAGTACTCCATCAAAATGTATACCTCTCTTCACAATATATTATTTACTATATATATTGTGGAGAACAAACGACTGGAATGTGCTGCACTCATTGAAAAAATAAACCGTCTTACACCAAGCTGATTTTATCTAACTGGACACTAATCTACAACGTGATTTAACCTTTTCACTTTTATCAAATATAACAGATTTCTAGTGCTTTGACACTGTGACATTGGAAAATACTTTCATGAAGTTTTCAGGAAGGAAGTTTTTATATTGAGAAGAAAACCATAATTCTTCTCAATGGCCTCTAACAAAAGAATCATTGGTTAATTAATTTGTTCATATAGACCTGGAAGAGGCCCAAGAGAAACCTGGTGTTTTGGCAACTTACGTCTACACATACATACATACACTTCACAATCATTGGCTCTAGCTATAGAACACCAGTTATCACATCATTACTATCCATGGATACTACCATCATCATCACCATTATTATCCATGGATATCACAATCATTATCATCATCATCATTCTTGAATACCATTCTCATTATGGATGTTAACCACAATAGAAACATATTTTAATCCCACAAAAGGAGTCCTTGCCAAATGTTGTTGTTTTAGAACTTCCCAAATTTTGATGTTTAGTCATATTTCTTGTCATTCTTGGGGCTATCGTGGTTTTTGGTCAGGTAGATTCCATCCTGAGGGTCGTGTCGTGCACATCTCTTTGGGAACCAGCCCCGGACACGGTTCTTTCCTGTAAAAAATGAAATATATAACATGGACCAGTCCATTTTCTAAAATTAAAGTCCCAAGCTTCATGATTTACTGGGCTTCTCTACTTTTACATGACTTAACGTCTAAGACTCCGTTTACATGGAAAGTCTATTTCCTAAAAATCTATTTTCTATTTGCGGTATCTTGTGATCACTCAGAGCGCAGCCAAGAATTAATTACAGCTTTGGAAGTAACTGGCTCGCGCTGCCAGTAATTACGCCGCGGGGTATTCAGGGCACAGACCATGATTACAAGATACCGCAAATAGAAAAATAGATTTTTAGAAAATAGACTTTCCATGTGAACGCAGCCTTACTCAAAACCCTCCCTTTCACCTGAAATTTAAAGCCAATCCTCTTTTTAATAAAAGTTCAATTAAAAGCAAAAAGAAAATCCTTACAACTTTTGTATAAATATTTCTTACCTTTGGCTTCTTCATCAGAGAGCAATTTATCTCCATACATCCAGTGTCTGGAATATAGAATTTTATATATATATATACATATATATATTTATAACATATCTACACAAAGAGTACAATATGTTGTCCAATGTTAGTTATTTAACATCTATATAAGTGAACAGCAGAGATGTCTTCATTATTTGCTGATATTTCAACTTTATTCCAGTCTCTCCAAAACCATGACAAAATATAAATATATCATCAAGTTGCCTTTTTTTAAACTAATCTTCAAGCCATTAATGCACCACTAGACTTTACTCATAGTTATATAAGTGTGTCGTTTTTGTGTCCTTACTTTCTCCATCGAGTTACTGAGATTTTGTCTCCTATCCTCACTGGAATTCTTGGCTCATCTGAGCAGGGAGGACTACAGCACACGCGACAGCCCTTAGAGATGGGAAAGATGGAACCAGCGTAGTCTTCCACGATCACGTACGGTAAAGCACGTTCACGTTTTTCTTCTTTCTGTTTGAGCTGCTCCACCTTCATCAATTAAATTGTTTTACATCAGTTGTTTTTAACATTAAACTTAAAAAAATTGACCTTCTTCAAATGCCTCATTAGGTTATGCTATTTTTATTTGAAAATTAAGAAGTCTGATCTCAATCTTAGTTTATTCAAGGAGTGAGCGAAAACATAAATATAAGTAAGACAGCTTTGCACCCATTGTATAACATACCGTAAGAGTGTACTGGTCGCAACCCTCTCTCACTTCCCACCATATTCCATCAGACACCGGAAACCCTGACCAACTAAACACCTGGAAAAAATTCTTTTTGCGACCTAAATCATAGGGGTATATAAACTCCCCTTCTTCTTCTTCATCTCGGTCTCTGTAATAAGCCTGCAAATGGATGAAGAAATGGAAAGATTAATATGTGTTGATTGGTTTCTGTAGTGAATATTACATTTAAGCCATATGGTGCAAATAGCATTTTATTTAGCTACAGGGTTTTAGGTTATCACCACATGGAGGATTTCAATTTTGACTTTGATATTTGGAAACGTTTTTTGCTTCTATCTTTTGAAAGTATTATGTGGCATTGATAACCTCTGTTTTCTCTCCATACAGTTAAACTCTTACCTTATCTTTTATCCAGGTTTCTATACCAGTTTCATTTCTGAAAACACTTTTCATCTGGAAGGCAATAAAACAAAACACAAAACACAATTTCTATCAATATGTGTTTCACCTTCATTGTTTCAATAAAATAAAGCATAGTATCCATTCCACTGAAAATATATACATGTAGAAATTAATGTCCTCAGGACATGCTTCCAGTACATTATCTATCAACTGTAGTTTACTTGTTGTCTTTGTTTCAGGGTTGCATGACTANTTTAAACAAAATATTTTTCATAACACAAAACACAATTTCTATCAAAATGTGCTTCACCTTCATTGTTACAATAAAATAAAGTATAGTTTCCATTCCACTGAAAATATATACATGTAGAAATTAATGTCCTCAGGACATGCTTCCAGTACATTATTTATCAACTTTAGTCTACTTGTTGTCTTTGTTTCAGGGTCGCATGTCTATTATTGTAAATTTAATACAAGAGTTTTCTTACTGCAATAAACTGTTACTTGCCTGCACCACAAACAACATGCCTACTGCTATGATGACACCTATTGCCAGTCCTATACCAAACATACAGACTAGGAATCCCAGAACATCAAGTTCTACAAGGGGCTCTGTGCCATCCCCAAAATAGAGATAATAAGGCTGAAATGGGTTCAAAAATTCAAATATGAACTCCACACTCAGATTAAATATAACATTTAATAGATATTTTCAAAATTAAAATGTAAATACAGAAATCTGTAATAATAATGGAGTTTTAAAATTAAGATAATTGTGCAAAGAAAGAATAAATATTCTTGCCAGCACATAATTTTTTCTCAATTTTATATCCCTTATAACACTGAAGCCCAAATTATTATTGAAGCCCAAATTATTATACACACACATCCAATATGGCCAGAAAAAAGACAATGTGAACTAGAAATTGAAAAATCAACATTTTGTTTCAACATAGTTTTTTGCAAAACCCCCCACCCCACCCATATTTATCTCCTTACCCTATATACAGCTCTGTAGACAGAGGCTATCAGCACCACCGCGGCATGGAAGCAACCTACTGGGGCTATGAACAGGAACTGGATAAAGCTGGCATGGTTATAATGACCACAGCAGGTGTTAATCCACGGACAGTGGTGATCCATCTTCATGACACACCTGAGTGGAACACATAGAAATGATCACTAATACATGGTTCCAAAAGACAATGGCACAACAGGACAAATAGTAAATGTCAGATCTAGTTTTAAAAAATTTAAACAGTAAAATCTTTAATTTCAAGAAAACATTTCTTCAAAGAACTTTACAATACTTGCAAAATAACTCCTCTATGTTTGAGGGACAACATGTGACTTTGAAAAAATGAAACCATTAAAATTCCAAATTATTTCAGTATATTCCTGCAATTATTTATCTCTACATGTAGTTCATTTTCTTTTAGCAAGATGTATATTGTTTACCTATTACATTTTCTACAATGATGAGATCTTGGTGCTTTGTATCCTTCACATATTCTACAGTATTGCAAGTTTTTGAAGTCTTCTGGGTTGTCCTGGAAAAGTAGAGTCTACAGTAAATTTATCATAATAACTTGAACAATATAATGACTATGGCCAAACTCTGGCAGACAGCATTTTTCTCTTTCCATGTATATTTACTTTAATGTTGTGTAACACAACTTAAAATCATTTAAGGAAATTATCTCAACATCCTGAGGTCTTGATTTCTTTAAGTCCATGAATGATTATATACAGTAATGTGCCAAACAGTTCGACCAAAATTAATTAATCAATTTCAAAGAAACATCATTTTGGTCAAGTTGATTAAAACACAGCAATAGAAACCTTTTAAAAAGTCGGATTCTTTGGGCCATATGCTAGAATGTACATCTTACCGTAAGTTCCTGTCAGCTCTACAACTTACTATCAATGCTGCACAAACAATATTACATTTTTGGCGGTGCATTTTTAGATTTGTTCTATCAGTACTTTACTGTTCCGTTCATTTCACAATGGTAATAATTAAACACAATTTTCTCTACAAGGTTGTGAAGTCAATCAGTTAAAACAGCTGTATGCATACTTACAGGTTTCCAACCTAGAGGCACAAATCCTGGTCCCTTCAGTGAGCCGCTGATCATATTATAAAGAACCAAGTATAACCAAAAGAGATAAACAGCGAGATGTATCGCCCCGCCTACAGTAAACGGCGGCCACCACATCAGTATACAATACAGCCCCGAGAGTGATATATGGAAAATGATATAAAGGGCTATCAAGGGCCCCCAGTGGACCAGTCTCATTAGACTTCCCTCGCTGGAGGCACGATGCCGAGGATCATACTTCATCGTCGGTGTCTCCAGTTTCACAGTTGTGAGCACATCAGCATCGGAAGACATTCTGTGCCGGTAGTTTTCACCACCAAGAAAACAGCTTTATCTTTATCCTCAACATTAAAATATCTTACATTATTGCGTTATTAACACATATATAACTTGCTAAAGGAACCAAGAAATAAAGTCAGCAAATCCTGTTCAAATCAGTAATCCAAGTAGCCTTGACCTTGACGGGGAGACTAGTCTCGGTTCATTTCTCATAGTTAATATTTATGTACAACAACTAATATGATATTCTAGCACTTAGTTGGAAGTTACATGTTTATAAAATTTATTGTCAAAGTTTTTGTGCAATAACATAATTAAAAATAGATTTTATTTGTGTTCCCGTCATGTTCAATCCCGCAGTGATCAAGATGGCAGAAGGAGAAGTACAAGACAACATTCGCAAGGCATTATTTCGTTCTCCTGCCGTAGACCAGGCACAATCATCAGGTATAATTCTCAAGATGACTGATCATCAATATATACTTGTGTCCATTATCCGTATGTTTTTATATGGTGTAGCGTATCTCTGCTATTTTGATGTTATATCTAGCCGGCTGCACTTACTCTTAAAATTATCGTTACTTAGACCGCATTCACAACGAGTTGAGCCATGGCTTTACAAATCCTGGCACTAAATATGGCGGACGTACATAAAGGAAGACCGCCTAATCTTTTAATAGTCTCTCCGCCTCTCACACGCCTCCCCATCGTCCCTGCGGGGGTACAGTCATTAAATTTCGGCTCCATTGGGACTACACATGGTAGGTATATCAGAAAATTATAATACTTATATCATCTGAAAGGTAATGCAAAAACCGAATGAAATCATTTGGAATTTTTTAAATATTCCTACAAGCAACAAAGATATTGAAGTTTTTTAACTGCAAAAATCCACCAAAAGTGTCCACACTTCTCAGCTCAAAACCTGTGCCCACTGACCAGCAGTGATCACTCAGGCGCAGCAGAGCACCGTGTGTGTCTTTGTGTGCTCAGCCTATTGTCTGGCTCACATAGCCTGTGACTAATCAGGGCAAAGCTATTTCCCTGTGGTAATTTTCACATCTAGGTTTCTTATTTATTTCATATTGTATTATAATTCATTGTTCATCAAGTTTTATAAATTTATATTAATTTTATTTAATCTAACCAATAACTAAATTATTCATAATAATTACACCAAAATTTCATGACAATTCATGTTAAATTTAAAATAATAAATTGAAAAAAGTTTGGTTAATGTTTTTATAAACAACAAAACTTAATGTACTGTTTACACATTTATTATTTGTAAGGTGCATAATGATAATATGAATAAATTCATATTGCAACATTTATTTCATAGTTTATCAGATGTCAAGCAAACTACAGCATTTCTTTCTTAAATTTAGGCTAAAAAATAATACCATTATCTTACTGTAATCAAATAACGAAAGTTTTCAATGATGAATTAACAAACTGGATAATTATTGTAAAAAAGATCTAAAAAAAATAGTGCAAGTCGTGCAAAAATTAGATAGATACTTCATATACTGTGATGTTGTTAAACTAACACAAAATTTTGCAAAAAGACTAGACAAATAACTAGACACCAGAATTGTTAAACAGGTGTACAATCAAGAGAAAAATGACAAAATACCCAGCTGGTACTCAGCCACACAAAAAATGCTTGAAACTTGGAAAATTACGGACCAGTTTGGGAAGATGCCACTTACATTTCACGGCTATCCTGACTTATGTCAAGAAATATACAAGAAAGTCTCTTCTTCTCTAGTGCTAACATAAGAATATGAAGTGAAATACAGACATATTCACATATTGTAGATATAGTAAATTTAAAAAAAAGAAGAAAATGGAAGCCTAACTTAGACTAGACATATCACATGAAATCAGTGGATATCAAGGTCACCCCTAACAATATCTACAATGACTTCTGGAATGAGCATGTAGTGGACCATTGTATCCACAGCAAGCAGAGTCAGTGGGAGTTGTTAGAGAATGGAAAACCCCAACTGCATGGTGCAGACAGGAGGAAGAGCAACTCTTGAGGATGTTTCTCCTGTAATAAATAAGATTCAAAGCTTCAGAACACTTCAATTCAGTAGTATTTTTTATATTACAGTCACATTCAACACCTCAACAAAAAATAATAAATTAAAATTAAAAAAAATAATTAAAAAATATATATAACTTTTAAATAATATAATTTAAAAACATGATTTCTAATTAAAAAGATTAATTACCTTGAAAAAAATGGACCTTTTTATTGACAGAAGAGTCAGTGGAAGTTGTTAAGAGAATGGAAAAACCCCAAATGGTGCAATTACAAAGAAGAGCAAATATTGTGGATGTTTCTCCTACCTATAATAAAAACGTTTTAATATTACAGCAAACTAAAATTCAAAAAGAAGTTAAGATAAAATTCAAAGTTAAACATTTAATAGATGCTACGTTTTTATAGATGATTGATGCAGATTGTTAGTTGCCTGCTAAAGCGTTTTTATTTTAACACTTTTCACTATTTTAATTGTGTCAATTTTAGGTCAGTTTATAGCATAGATTAATTTTCAGAGCCAAAACACTTGCATAGTGATGCTTTTAATAACTAATAATATCATTACAAAGAAAAAATAGTAAGAAAAAACATAATTTACATAATAAATATGGCGACCGCACACGCACATGGCAGGGATGGCCTCAGTGCACATCATGTAATATTGCGCATTAAATTAACTATACTTCGCAACCTTCAAATTTCATGATTTTTCTACATAATATAGCAAATTTCATAAACTTTGCTGGATATAAATTTCAAAAAGATGATACCAGCACTTACCTGAAATTTTTTAGCATTTTGTAGAGGCAAAACTTAAAACAAGCAGAACCGAAACTTGTCAAAGACTGCAACATGGGAAAATCACGTGACCGGTTTTTACTCTTTGATTTACAACTTATTTAGTTAATGGCTTGTATTAGTTTTTTTACGCGGCGCTGAAAGAGAGATTTAAAAAAAGGGGTTCCATAGGCGAACTGTCAGTAGGCCGACTTCACTTTTACACTTCACTGCCCGTGGATAGTTACGACTGTAGCGCCCCTAGCGGATTGTTATCTACCTACACATGGGGAGGCGTGTGAGAGGCGGAGAGATTATTAAAAGATTAGGCGGTTTTTCTTTCATGTACATCCGCCATATTTAGTTCCAGGATTTGTAAAGCCTGGCTCAACTCGTTGTGAATGTGATCTTAGTCTCGCCTCACTCTCTTGCGCACACTTAAGCTGTATTCCCAGAGATTTTAGATCGATCTATCTCCGCGGGGAGTCTCACTAGATTTCTGTCAGATAATCTGGCTTAAATGTCCGTCCCGCCTACTACAAGCTGTAAGGGGGTAATTAACTTTCGTATCGCCTGGCTGACAGCAATTTAGCGTGAACCCCCAGGGAGTTAGGTCGATCTAAAGTAGATCGATCTAATCTCTGGAAATGGGGTCTTAGTCTATGCAAATGTTTTATAGGGTTGTAGAATCCAGATATTGAGTTATAAGTTATTTTCATCAGTGCACAGAGACAACTTATCGCATCAAAACAAATAACCACTCACATGACCGATTATTGGCAACAATAAATCAAAATATGGCACCAAGACTTCAATGAACCTGGCCTTGTCTTGTGATACATGGCATGCTCTCAATTTTCATTAACTACCCGTAATAATCTTTTACTGGGATAGAGACTTACGTTGACTACAATCCTTGGACGATGTAAATAAAAAACGAGTCACTTGCGCACTTCGTTGGTTTTCGTTTTAATATAATTTAAATTATCATCACAAAAACTAATTGACAGGTTTCAATTTAAATTATCATCACAAAAACTAATTGACAGGTTTCATAAGTGCCTGACACTGGCAACTGTCATAAGTTACACAGGCCTGCATGGCATTAATGTTCTTAATATTTAGGGTTTGTGTTTTTCAGCATTTATTTAAAACATCATTTTCCTCAAATACGTCAAATTTCATTGCACTGTTTTCAAAACTTAAAGTTATTTTGAGCCACCCTACAGTATATACATCCTTTATCCTAAAGCTTTATCCTAAAGCTCTCTCTGGCGTTATCTTTATTACAGGAGCGAATCTTATAAATTGAATAAGACAAGTTTTATTTTTTTGAAAAAACAACTCTGAAGTAGATTATGTGGGACAAAGTGTAAGATTCACAAACACAATACATAAACCACACCTTGCTGAACTTGTGGCAGGTAAATGCAGTGAATTAATGTCGCCAAAAATAATCTAATTCATCACCTCCTTATAAACCTTGCCTACTGCCAAACATCTAATTGGCACAGCTTTGAATGGCGCATAACCAGAATGGCAGTGATTATAGCAAGTGCGGAATTTTAAACACACATACTTTTAAGTTATAACACTGTTGTGACAATCCTCAGGAAAGGAGAAATCAAAAGTTGGTTAGTTGGAGAAAAATCCTGTTGACCCCAAAGAATTCATAAAGTCTGAGGGGGAAAATCTTACAAGCAGGCATGTTTTTAATAAAGCATTGGTCTGAATCATTAATAATATAATTCTAGCAAGTGTAAAATGTAGCATAACTGGACTGCATTTATTTTAGGTTAAATATCTAATAAGAGAGTAGTTAACAAGCAAACATTTTTTACCTTTTTCCCCTATATGATCCCCATGCTTGATTTCACACTTCACTTTTTGTTCCATTTTATTATTTTTTTCTTACAGAATACTACTCAAGGGATGTATTTACTAGTATGTTAAAAATGGCGTTTATCTTATAAGTGCAAGTCAATCACAAAATTACATTTATTTTGGAAAAAAATAGATAAATAAATCTCAATGCAGTCCTTTAATGTATCTTATCTAGTCGAACACACACCTTCCTAGGCAATGCTTATTAAGCTAATTTTTTTTTTAAAGGCACCATGTCAGTCATGTTAATTTTCCAGCATTCATTAATGCTAGTATTGCAGGGAACTATTTATGTTTATTTCTCTGGTCATGTTTTACACCGCAGTGAAACTTTTGTTTCAGGGCCATTTCTTTGACAAACATCTATCACATTTTCAAACCCACATCTTTTCACCCATTTCAGAGCATTTTTAAAACTTGCAAGCTCATCATAAAAGTCTTTACCTTGAAAAGAAATTGTCTTTTTCAATTTGGTCAAAAAGTAGTCGTACAAGTGATAGTCAGCTTTACTCCATGCTTTGTGTTGTTGAATGATCCATGGGTCGTCTTCATTCTTAAATTCAGAAGTGTACTTACCAGCATTTTGCTTTACATACAGCAGATCCTGTACCTTCCAGCATAACTTTCTACCAAGTAAAACCAAACTTTCGTCAAACAGCTCATTCACAACGATGAAATCAAATTGATTATCTATGTAATCAATGTATTGTTTGATGAAGGTTTTGTTGCTTCTGATTTTCATGTCGTCATCTGGAAAGCCAAACTCGTACATCATCCCATTTCTTATAAAGCTATTATAACTTCGGCGTGTGTACATATTCCAATATTTATACGGGTTATGGAAAAATGTTTGCAGACTATTCAAGGATGTTATATTAAATTTGCTTTTCATTGACATAAAGTTAAAGGCACTCTTAAATTGAGAAAATGGTTCACGGACAATTCCTATGCGAAATGAATCCTTGGGCATCATGGCGTTTAATACTTCAGCATCAAAAACCATGTGATGCATCATCATGTCATATGTTTTGTTAGGACTGTATAAAGCATCTGCAAAACTCGGCTTCCTTACATGAAGGAGCGGGTAGTTCATATCTTTACTCGGGTAAAAACTAGGTCTTCCTGGCAGTGGCTTTAAAACAGCCAACCCGTATTTTGCTGCTGCCCGTTCTAAGATTGAATAGACAGTGGTAGAACCGCATTTATGAACTTTCAAGAAAATAATATGTCTTTTTTGTTTACAATTGTCGTGAGAACATGTCCGTCCTGGGACCCCATACGGTAAAGGAGCAGCAGAAGATGTGTCATCTGGAAATTGCCAAACACTGGCAAAATATGTTCCATCTGGAAGGTTGGTCCTTTGGTCGGTCCTATCTATAAATAAGAAAATATTTCACAATGTCTACTCTTCAGTTCTGTTTAAAAACTTCAAGTTGGAGTATGTATGATGCTTCATGTGAAAATATGCACCAGGATCCTATCAGAGGTTGTTGATCAATACATATTTTTGTTGCTCAAAATGGTTGTTATACCCACTAGAATTTGGAGTTTGAATAATGGCATAGGGTTTAAAGCTATGTTTATGTTGTGATTTTTGATTATTTCTTCTCACCAGTAAGCAATGGCCATTTGACATTAACTAGGACAAATGAGAGCACATGACAATGGATGGAAGCTCCAAAATTAAGTTAAGGGTTTGAGAGGAATGCGAATAGATGTTGCCAGCTTAGCTATAACAGGGATGTTGTTGCATTGATATAAAGCCATTTTTTATAATTTTAAAGCGAGAAAAGGAGAGCATTAAAAAACGTGCCGTGCCACAATCTTTTGTGATACCTGGATGCCGTAGTATCCATCAGATACAATAAGAAAGACATCAGACAGCAAGACAACAAATCATCACATATGGATCAATGCTTAAAAGTTAACTTAAAAAAAAAACAAGCACACACTTAGAGCCTGAATACTTCTTGTGTCACCTGCAAGGTGATTTTTATGACCCCACCATCTGTCTGCACCGCCTTATGGTGCCATGAATAAACAAGTAAACCTTCAAATGAAAACAGCGAAAAACAAAAATAGCAATTTTTATTTATTTATTTTTTTTTTTTTTGTATACTTGGTCTGTAACTGTACTCAAATTGTCAAAATTCTGCCGACACCCTTGTGCCATCACAGATTATCTGAGAGACAGAGGTGTCTGAGACGGAGACGTCTTACCTTTTCCTGAATCCTTGCTTATTTTACACTTCCCCCAGTATAGGACCAGTATCACGACCGTGGTAATGCACAGCACACAAGTTTTCACTTTCCTCATCATAGATAGAAAAATCTCCTGGTTTAGATGGCTATACAGTAAAATTTTATAAATTCTTTTGGAGTTATCTCAAAAAGTCTATGCTCAGGTCACTGAATAAATCCTTTTAAGCACAGTCAATGTCCACATCCCAACGACAAGGTATGTGTGAGATAATACACTGTGTAGGGGCCCATGTTCATCCCTACCCAGGTTCTTTTGGAAAATTGCTTGTCACTGAGGCATAGGAGAGGGAATATAACAACAACCTCACATCTTCAGTTCCAAATACAAATGAGACCAAATTGTGAAAAAAAGTGTCTCATCATTGTTCCACTCAATAACAGTTCACTGCCGGTTGTCAGGGGAAATTTTTTATTGCTGGGTACTCAGACACTGACAGTCTTACTTGTTAGTCATAATTTTATTTGAAATTCATAGACATAATTGATAGTCAAATTATTCTAAATAATTTATATACTAATCTAAAGTCTCATATTTTAATATGAAACTTTAGACAAATATGTAAATTATTTAAAAATTTTTAATTTATTGGATGTAGTGTCTAATTTATGACCTGCTTATGTGAGTGTGCCTATGTATAATGTTAATACATGTATGGCCTCCCAGCCCCAAGGTCATAAACATAGATTGTGGCAGTGCCACTGGTTTGTGAATTTGGTTTTAAATTTATCTTAAAAATACTTTTAAAAAATGGAAATAAACTCATATCATTGCAGTCTGTAAGATTCAATCATTCACTATGTTCAGAATCTCAGAATGGAGCAAAATGGACATTTAAAATTGTTCTATTGATTTTTTTTCCTATGTCAGCAATTTTCTTATTTGACAGTAAATTGATTATTTTGTTTTATGTAAAAAGGTGTTGAAAGTGGAAATAATCTCACTTCAGTACAGTTATCTTTTATTACATTTTGTCATTTTCAAAGTATGACTCTGAACTTCCATGGGCTTGAAGACTTGTGCTAGTCACATTTTCCGAATATCCATGATACTCTTATTTTATTATTAAAAATTGATGGTCATTATGCTGTTAAGCATTATGTAATATTGCATCAAAATTGAAGAAAAAACTATTGTGCGCACTGCCTCAATAGTAACATTGTTATGTGATAATAATCTAATTAGTCTCACTGTCTGAAGAGGCTTGGCTTTGTATTTATAATAAAATTTCTTGATGTATTTCTGCCTAATGGCACTGTAATGAGGGCATTTAAGGATAAAGTGTTCTGATTTGATCAAGTACATACACTCAAAGTGCCAAACATTAATATATATATTAAACTTAGAGCTTTTCAATTTTTTCAAGATGTTACAGACACATTGATGAGCAAGCTTCAAATAGAGCAGGACGTGGAGACCAGTGTTCGTATTCTGCACAAAGGTAATAATACTTCACACAGTAGTCAGTGTTTATTCATATATTGTCCTATAGCACCAAACATACCATTCACCAAAAACAGTTTAAGAGTTAAGGTAGGCTAAGGGATTCAAATGTACAAATGTATATGCCTCTCTTACCTCTCCTTCTACCTGCTTTTCCAAAGCTCTCTCTGAATACTGATTGATCTGTTTGAATTAAAATCAGTTTGTCTCTCCTCCACCAGTAGGGTGTGATGAAATTGCTAAAGGGTAGGGAAAACCTAATATTTGAGTGATTTTCTGTGCTTGTACTGTTTAAAAAATCAAGCTGCCAATATATTAACATCTTAGACTTTTCTCTCATTTAGAATTACGTATTGTAAATCTTTTTTTTTTTTTTTTTTTTGAAATCCAATAAAAATTATCTGTCAATCTATCATTGAATATCTTATTTTCAATGAATATCTTTCTTTCCATCAATCTATCAGTGAATATTTTATTTTCAGAACAACATGAACAGACACTGAAACAGTTACGACAGAAACTAAAAGATCTAACAAAGGATGACTGGAGGTACCAGCCGGTCAATCAACTGATTGGACTGGAGTGACCATTGGTCACCCTTAATGAGATAGCCACATGGTTTTAGTATTGTGAGCTCAGCATTGATGGGATGACACATATATAAGACAAGATTTTTACTGACTGCAATCATAGTGTGTGATTAACTTTATGTGAGCCAAAGTGCAGACTGCAGACATAAGCTTTTTCTGCGTTTTTTAGATCTGCAATAAAATTATTAATGTTCAGAGGGTTTTTTTAAAACCTAGGCTCATGTCTGAAAGTGTGTTTGCATGATGTTTGATGAGGATGTCTAGCACAGCTCTGTGGAATGGAGCATTATTTGCTGACTTTTAACTGTGATATCACTGTTCTCAGAGAGATAGTAATGTACTGCTCAGAGTCCAGGACATGGGGTAGTTATACTCCTAAATATGTTATGGTTCTTTTGACCCAGTAAGAGTGTTCTGAAAGATGTATTTGTCACTGATGAGACTTTTCCAACTTTTGTAACGTTATATAAGTAAAGCTGTATAAAGAAATAAAGAACTGACGTGTTTATAAATATTACATATTATTTCATACAGTGCAGAAATGGACGTAAAGTTGGAAAATAAATTGTATCACTTTGCATAGGAAGAGCGTAGTGAGGTTTTTTAAGACAGTGTCATATTAACTCTACAGATACAGAACCTATAGATGTCTTTAATTTTTTAAACTTGACACAGTCATCATGAGGATTCATTGTGAATGTAAAAGGGAAATGCTTCCTGNTAACACAAAACACAATTTCTATCAATATGTGTTTCACCTTCATTGTTTCAATAAAATAAAGCATAGTATCCATTCCACTGAAAATATATACATGTAGAAATTAATGTCCTCAGGACATGCTTCCAGTACATTATCTATCAACTGTAGTTTACTTGTTGTCTTTGTTTCAGGGTTGCATGACTATTATTGTAAATTTAATACAAGAGTTTTTTTACTACAATAAACTGTTACTTGCCTGCACCACAAACAACATGCCTACTGCTATGATGACCCCTATTGCCAGTCCTATACCAAACATACAGACAAGGAATCCCAGAACATCAAGCTCTACAAGGGGTTCTGTGCCATCCCCAAAATAGAGATAATAAGGCTGAAATGGGTTCAAAAATTCAATAATGAACCACACCGATTAAATATACCATTAAATAGACATTTTCAAAATTAAAATGTAAATACATCAATTTGTTATATTTATGGAGTTTTAAAAGTAAGGTAATGACTGCTCTTACATATCTGCATTTGTGCAATGAAAAATCAATATTCTTGAAAAACACATAATTTTTGTCTTAATTTTTTTAATTCCTTAAAACACTGAAGCCCAAATTATTATACACACACTATCCAATATGGCTAGAATAAAGACAATGTGAACTAGAAATTGAAAAATCAATGTTTTGTTTCAACACAGTTTTTTGCACAACCCTCCCCCCACCCCCACCCCCACCCACCCATACACCCACATTTATCTCCTTACCCTATATACAGCTCTGTAGACAGAGGCTATTAGCACCACTGCAGCATGGAAGCAACCTACTGGGGCTATGAACAGGAACTGGATAAAGCTGGCATGGTTATAATGACCACAGCAGGTGTTAATCCACGGACAGTGGTGATCCATCTTCATGACACACCTGAGTGGAACACATAGAAATGATCACTAATACATGGTTCCAAAAGACAATGGCACACCAGGACAAATAGTAAACGTCAGATCTAGTTAAAATTTAAACAGTAAAATCTTTAATTTCAAGAAAACATTTCTTCAAAGAACTTTACAATACTTGCAGAATAACTCCTCAATGTTTGAGGGACAACATGTGAATTTGAAAAAATGAAACCATTAAAATTCCAAATTATTTCAGTATATTCCTGCAATTATTTATCTCTACATGTAGCTCATTTTCTTTTAGCAAGATGTTTACCTATTACATTTTCTACAATGATGAGATCTTGGTGCTTTGTATCCTTCACATATTCTACAGTATTGCAAGTTTTTGTAATCCTCTGGGTTGTCCTGGAAGAGGAGAGTCCACAGTAAATGTTGTATCATAATAACTTGAACAATATAATGACTATGGCCAAACTCTGGCAGACAGCATTTTTTTCTTTCAATGTATATTTACTTTAATGTTGTGTAACACAACTTAAAATCATTTAAGGAAATTATCTCAACATCCTGAGGTCTTGATTTCTTTAAGTCCATGAATGATCATTTACGGTAATGTGCCAAACAGTTCGACCAAGATTTATTAATCAATTTCAAAGAAACATCATTTTGGTCAAGTTGATTAGAGATTTGAGTAGAAACCTTTTAAAAAGTCGGATTATTTGGGCCATATGCTAGAACGTACATCTTACCGTAAGTTCCTGACAGCTCTACAACTTACTATCAAATGCTGCACAAACAATATTACATTTTTGGGGGTGCATTTTTAGATTTGTTCTATCAGTACTTTACTGTTCCGTTCATTTCACAATGGTAATAATTAAACACAATTTTCTCTACAAGGTTGTGAAGTCAATCAGTTAAAACAGTTGTATGCATACTTACGGGTTTCCAACCTAGAGGCACAAATCCTGGTCCCTTCAGTGAGCCGCTGATCATATTATAAAGAACCAAGTATAACCAAAAGAGATAAACAGCGAGATGTATCGCCCCGCCCACGGTAAAGGGCGGCCACCACATCAGTATACAATACAGCCCCGAGAGTGATATATGGAAAATAATATAAAGGGCTATCAAGGGCCCCCAGTGGACCAGTCTCATTAGACTTCCCTCGCTGGAGGCACGATGCCGAGGATCATACTTCATCGTCGGTGTCTCCAGTTTCACAGTTGTGAGCACATCAGCATCGGAAGACATTCTGTGCCGGTAGTTTTCACCACCGAGAAAACAGCTTTATCTTTATCCTCAACATTAAAATATCTTACATTATTGCGTTATTAACACATATATAACTTGCTAAAGGAACCAAGAAATAAAGTCAACAAATCCTGTTCAAATCAGCAATCCAAGTAACCTTGACCTTGACGGGGAGACTAGTTTCGGTTCATCCGTCAAAGTTGATATTTATGTACAGCAATCAATGTGATATTCTGGCCCTTAGTTAGAAATTACATATTTATTATATTTATTGTCACAGTTTTTGTGCAATAAAACATTTGAATACAGATTTTATTTGTGATCCAGTCATATTCTATCCCGCAGTTATCAAGATGGCGGAGGGAGAAGTACAAGACAACATTCGGAAGGCATTATTTCGTTCTCCTGCCGTAGACCAGGCACAATCATCAGGTATAATTCTCAAGATGACTGATTATCAATATGTGCATATGTCCATCATCTGTATGTTTTTATATGGTGTAGCGTGTCTATTTTTATTCATATGTTATATCTACTGGCCCGCCCGGCTGCACTTTTAAAATTATAAAATAAGAAACTTGGGCTTGCCTCACTGTCTCAGGCACATTTAGTCTCGTGTACAGTTAAACTTAAAGCATACTTAACTCTTTTCAATTTTTTCAAGATATTACAGACACGTTGATGAGCAAGCTTCAAATAGAGCAGGACGTGGAGACCAGTGTTCGTATTCTGCACAAAGGTAATAATACTTCACACAGTAGTCAGTGTTTATTCATATATTGTCCTATAACACCAAGCATACCATTCACCAAAAACAGTTTAAGAGTTAGAGTAAGCTAAGGGATTCAAATGTACAAGTGTATATGCCTCTCTTACCTCTCCTTCTACCTGCTTTTCCAAAGCTCTCTCTGCATACTGATTGATCTGTTTGAATTAAAATCAGTTTGTCTCTCCTCCACCAGTAGGGTGTGATGAAATTGCTAAAGGGTAGGGAAAACCTAATATTTGAGTGATTTTCTGTGCTTGTACTGTTTAAAAAATCAAGCTGCCAATATATTAACATCTTAGACTTTTCTCTCATTTAGAATTACGTATTGTAAATCTTTTTTTTTTTTTTTTTTGAAATCCATTAAAAATTATCTGTCAATCTATCATTGAATATCTTATTTTCAATGAATATCTTTCTATCCATCAATCTATCAGTGAATATTTTATTTTCAGAACAACATGAACAGACACTGAAACAGTTACGACAGAAACTAAAAGATCTAACAAAGGATGACTGGAGGTACCAGCCGGTCAATCAACTGATTGGACTGGAGTGACCATTGGTCACCCTTAATGAGATAGCCACATGGTTTTAGTATTGTGAGCTCAGCATTGATGGGATGACACATATATAAGACAAGATTTTTACTGACTGCAATCATGGTGTGTGATTAACTTTATGTGAGCCAAAGTGCAGACTGCAGACATAAGCTTTTTCTGCGTTTTTTAGATCTGCAATAAAATTATTAATGTTCAGAGGGGTTTTTTCAAACCTAGGCTCATGTCTGAAAGTGTGTTTGCATGATGTTTGATGAGGATGTCTAGCACAGCTCTGTGGAATGGAGCATTATTTGCTGACTTTTAACTGTGATATCACTGTTCTCAGAGAGATAGTAATGTACTGCTCAGAGTCCAGGACATGGGGTAGTTATACTCCTAAATATGTTATGGTTCTTTTGACCCAGTAAGAGTGTTCTGAAAGATGTATTTGTCACTGATGAGACTTTTCCAACTTTTGTAACGTTATATAAGTAAAGCTGTATAAAGAAATAAAGAACTGACGTGTTTATAAATATTACATATTATTTCATACAGTGCAGAAATGGACGTAAAGTTGGAAAATAAATTGTATCACTTTGCATAGGAGGAGCGTAGTGAGGTTTTTTAAGACAGTGTCATATTAACTGTACAGATACAGAACCTATAGATGTCTTTAATTTTTTAAACTTGACACAGTCATCATGAGGATTCATTGTGAATGTAAAAGGGAAATGCTTCCCGAAAGTTGCTTATCACTTTCATCCATTCAAAAAATATATGTAGGCCGACAATGTTCATGTACATTGCTGGTTTTGAAATCTGGCCGACCTGTTCAGCGATTGCAACATGGGGGAGTTAAAAGATGGAGAAAAACTTTTTTAGCTAAGTAAATGTTGAAAAAGGTTTTCAGTGTGTCAATCCTATCAAAGCGGCTGACAAATGAGGCACGTGCTGCAAACTTTGTTTGGGAGGTGCACCCGTCTCTTTCCCAAAAAGCAAGAGTAAGGAACGAAACGAGTAACAAGTAATTTTCCCATCCCCGGATCCCAGATATTATGTCAAATTGTCCTTAACAGTTTTATATTTCTCTCGCTTTGTTCAGGATTTATTCCCTGTGGTCCGCCCCCCCCTTTTTTTTTACCAAAACGTAGGTCCGCTAATGCCTGTGTACTTATCAGCTTGTGGACAAATTGCTAACATTTTAATTCTCTGACAAATTATAATATGTACAATAAATTTATTTTGGCACTGGTCCAGCAGTTAATTAATGCGTTAGATAAATCTATGTACAAAATATGGCAATAAATTGGGACACAATAGGATGGTCTTTTGGTAACTGAACAGCAGTTCATTTGTTCAAAATGAAGGTAAGTAAAACCACCGGTGCTGAAAATACAGACACATGGAAAGAAAGTCTGGAATGTTCATATATGCTGATATATCTGTTTCTTTCGATTCTTTTGTCAAGATCCAAGTCAGCAAAAGACGGTCGCGCAAAATGAAGGATTCAGCTGTCTTTAAGGAAGACAAATGTTCTATAAATTGAATAACTCTGACGTGGTTGCTGTATAATTGTATATCCAGTCGGCAAATGTGGAGACATTGGTGTAGAGGGCGGGCACCTGCGTCCTGCCGCACTCATCAATCAGACCTCGCGACACGATACCCGCCAATGTCCACGTGCCGTCTTTCTGATTAGTGTACATCAAAGGGCCGCCACTGTCACCCTAAAATTGCATAAAATGAAATAGTAATTAATGAAAATCTAATTTTTAAAAACGGACACTGTATATTCTGATCACTGTGTATGTCCGTGTGGTCGGTGTCGCCGTCCGTGACATCAGTCCCTCTAACTGCCAAGCTGCACTTTTTCTGTTAAATGGTTTCCTGTGAAAATCTGCAAGACTGATCATGATTTGATGATTAACACAAAAGTAATTGATGTTTTTCGTGTATTTTGGCGATGTTTTTCTTTTCTTTTAAAAAGCATTGGTGTGTGCCATAATCTAGGGCTATTGCCACCTTAAAATTTTCTACACGTTTTCAATATTGTGTAACATACTGTAATTACATTTCCACAAACATAAAAAAGCAAGGAGCGCATACACACACGCGCACACAGTTCTCACCGAGCAAGTGTCTTGACCAGCTTCTCCCCCTGCACAGATGATCTTGTCATCCAAGACAGGCAGACTGATCCGACGCACACCTTGGTCCGAGGCCGCTGTTTTACACGTGTCCAGGGGCAAGACCGGCAAGTTAACCTGGCGTGCCACTCGTTCAAACCCACCATTACCATTAGCTGGTGTTCAATAAAATTATATGTATAGAGATGTTACACGATTATATATCCAATAATAAATAGATATGCATTATATTTCACCAACAAATGCCCGAGAACTATCTAACAAACCATAATGTGGTATTACATGCACTAAACACTATGTGTTTAAATGATCAAACGGAATTCACGCGAGACGGCATAGGGGGTTTCTACCGTATACGTCGGACAAGAAACGCTTTCCACAGAACAGTGATTTCTTACACGTGTTGAACATCTTTTAACTGGAGATTTTGAAAGGCATTATGCTATGCGAGTTTGCAACTGTCCATATTTTCACATTTCCATGGCTACATAGCTTGCAAAGCTACTTATCTTTCTTAATTAATTGTATACATTTAATCCGCGACAATCACCTTGGCGTCCCCATCCTGCAGAGATACACCTGGTCTCGTTGGCAATCCCCAGGCCGCGGGAGGGTAAGCACACCGGTCTCACGTAATCAGTATAACGAAGAGGGCTCGCCAGTCGAAGCAAAGCTATGTCGTCCTGCAGCAGGTTCTTCTTATAGTTTGGCTGCCTCACAATCTCCTGGACAACGCGCACCTGGAGATGGCGGGAGTACATGCCACGGCGAACTATTCCGGCGTGAATACGGATGTCCTCAGGCTGGATATATCTGGAATAATGGAACTTCGATTATTGTTCCATGGGTATCAGGGGCGTGTTAAGAATAAAACAGTTTCCAGTGCCCTATGAATGGCAGAGTTTCGATATGTGATCGGCAAGCTCAATAAGTTTCAATGTGGATGCCATGGCGGCGAACGTGATATATAAGCAATGAAATATTTGCCAAATGATGTGAAATTTACCAAACGTTTACGGAACCTTAAAATACGGCAAGACGAAAAGAGAAGATTTTTTTCATGTTTTAACATATTAAAATATTGTTTGCAGTTTTGCGCCTTCGTGTAAGACTTCTCCCTTCCTTGAACAAGACTCCATTCCCATAAACAACATCGGTCTACGTAGAACGACCCATCTCACCGGGACACCTCGATAAGTGCATTTAGCCTAACTGAATGCCACGCCTCCTCTTGTTTCCAATGTACTCGTACAATATTACCAGCTTTTCTGTATTCTTTTTAATGCCAAAAGGGGGCGTGTCCTTCGGTTAAGCTGATTGCAGTCAGCGAGAGTACCCGCAGCATTGGGTCGATTCACGTAGACCGATGCTATAATTGGGAATGGGACCTAAGAGTCTTGCTATTGTAACCATGCGGTAATTGGAATGATAATCTTAACTAGTGCTTGACAACTTTAAAGTTCCACCTACGTTTGTGCACAGTGTCCGGCGGTTAGGATCCAGCTAGCGTCAATGATAACTCCGCCGCAGTAGAAAACTTCAGCGGGGCCCGCGTGAAGAGACACCAACCATGGCCACGCCCCCTCGTGGACGGAAGTACCTCCCACCACGCGCTTCCCGGATGGTATATAGGCGGGGCGAGTGCCACACACTACAATATGGAAATGCTTCCTATATAGTATTTAGAATAAAAAACCATAGGAACCTAGACAGTGGACATACTTTTGTTAAATTAATCATTCTAGATCAGAAAAACAAAGCGTAAGATTTTAAACACGTTTTTTACTTAAAAATACTCAAACTATTTCGAGTTGAACTTATCTAAGAGCAATTTCTATTTTTTATCATTTTAAACAACAGATAATTGCAATGATTTATTGTCGCCAAAATGATCTGATTTATCATCTTTTGTCGAACCTCGCCACTTGTCGACTGTCATGAGACACTTTTAAATCGCGCGCGACCCAGAAGTCAGTGCTTAAAGTGATGACGGTTTTTTGAAAACTCCACCCTTAAGAGTGGATTAAGGTTTTATAATTTCCAAAGATTGTTAGAGGTATTGCGAGTGTCAGGAAAAAGGGATCGAAGGTTGGTTAATCGAAACACAACCGTTTACCCCAGGAAAATTAGTTAATATGAGTTTTTCGCGAGAAAATATTACGCTGGCCACCTTTAAAAAACAAATATCTACGATACGCATTTTTTTCTTTCCAATTTGCATGTAAGCAACATATATTGAATTTATGCCTAAGATATTATTGATATTGGTCGTTCGCGGCATAACAAAATTAATTTATAAATAAATCTAAAGAACATCCTTTCCGTTGATGATTTCGCAACTAGCTATTTCAAAACATGCCAAAATACCTAATAACAGGTACTTACCGAACGATGAGCACTTCAGCCCGATTGCTTTTTTAGACAAACAGGTAAGACTAGAACAGGTAAAAATAGGAATATCACACTTTTGGAAAAATTGTTAATTGTTATGTGGATTTCATAAACAGCAGCGCCAAAAAGCAATTCTGGTTCAGTAGACTTAAAATAGCTCCACTGTTACTGCTGAAACTGCCGTTAAACAGTAAAGAATACAGAAGTGGCTGCTATAACGCTGAAAACAAGTAGAAATTTATATTGAACTTACTTTTTGATTATAATTTGACCTACGAAGTAAGGAGATGTCCCGTTCTTATTATAGGCTATCACCAGTGGATTGCTTTGGGTCGTATCGACATGTGAAGCACTGTCTAGGGAGCTAGGCGATGGAGAAAACGAAACAAGAACTTTTATCACATTGAAAGATAACCGATTACCAATGATTCAAAATATTAAGTAATGCAGGCCCGTAGCCAACAATTTCAAAAAGGGCGGGAAGGGGTCTTCTTCGGAAAAATGGGACCTTTCACCATGAGCCCTAGATAAAATTTTACCCAGAGGGGACCTTTGCCCGTCAAAGGGGGGTTCTATCGAACCTCCGAATCCCCTGGCTACTGGCCTGTAGTGAATCGCCAAAGTTTTGTTATTGCCATAAAGGACAGAATCAAATAAAATAACGAATGTGCAGGCATTGGTCAAACAATGATAAAAAGGGAATATCTGACCTGTAGCCCATATGACGACATGCCAGCTCGCCTGTTTCTGTCAACCAGTCGTCTGCGCAGACTTGGCGCCATGTTTTCATGGAGTTATCGAACAGTTCCAAGTGACCCTCTGTGCTGTTTTCCAAACGCACTAGAAAAAGTGAAAATATATGTTGTATATACGTGTGCACCTATTTGTTGTATTTGACGTCAACGAATGCTATAACTAGGTTTTTATCTGCTCTCATCAACAGTGGTGGAATCCGTTCTACCAAGAACAGCACAATAAGAAGGCCATTTTTATTAGGATTGTGTTGTACTATCTAACGGAAGATACGGAGGCGGAAAAAAACGACAATGACGACATATCAGTATTACCGCAATTATTCTCCTCTAGGCCACGCTTACAGTCGGGAACGCCGTCGCAGACCTTGGCCCAGCTGATGCAGTGCTGCGTGCCTGGACACCTGTAAGATTCGGCGGTACACTCCCCTGAAAATACAGCCGAGGGGAATATTTACGCAAATCGGTACCATCGGCACTGGTCACTGGGTAATCTGAGACAGGGGATGCCGAGGACTTTTATTGTATTTCATGCCGATAATTCTTTTGGTCAAAGTAGAACAATTTTCTCACCCGGACATGATTGCTCATCAGAGCCGTCCTCGCAGTCCTGATGGCCGTCACAGAGCCAAGACTTGGGGACGCAGCGGTCACCGTCACACAGCGTCTCGTTATTCGGGCACACTGAAATAAAAACATTTTCATCTCAGAAAGTTATTTTGTTGATAAAATCTGTGTTTTGTTAGCTTTCTTTAGTTGTTATCGGTGATTTATTGTTAATGAAAATTTCATTTTACAAAACGTGTTGGTTTTGATTATTACTGGATAGTATCAAAGCGTTCATAAACGCACACACACACACACACGCGCGCGCGCGTTATCGTAACATTTAAAACGTTAAAACAACCTGATGCATAGGTTACTAAAACATCACTATAACATTTTTGATAGCTGGAATAGCACTTAGTCACAAAAATGTCCTATGTTCAATACAAATCCACCTTGCAAAGTTCATCAATCTCATTTACATTGTGTACAAAGATGTGAATGATTTGCTTCCTATATGTATTTCCAATTGCAAAAAATCATACCAGTGTAAGGGACGCGGTGGCGCCCCTTAGCATGTCCCACGCCCCTAGGATGTCGCGGCGCCCGCGCCTAGACTATAGGATGTCGCGGCGCCCGCGCCTAGTAAGATTGATTATAAGGTATTATTATAATGAGACATTAAGGTACATATAAATAGAACAGGTGGTGGGTAGAGAGAGGGAGTTAGGTAGTGGGAATAAAGCTGTTTGGAAATCCACGACTCTTGTTGCTCACTTCTTCTCGATCTGTGAACCTTAAATCGAAGCTTACAGGATTGGCGAGCTCGTGGATTTCCAAACAGCTTTATTCCCACTACCTAACTCCCTCTCTCTACCCACCACCTGTTCTATTTATATGTACCTTAATGTCTCATTATAATAATACCTTATAATCAATCTTACTAGGCGCGGGCGCCGCGACATCCTATAGTCTAGGCGCGGGCGCCGCGACATCCTAGGGGCGTGGGACATGCTAAGGGGCGCCACCGCGTCCCTTACACCAGAGTCAAAACATTGTAATCGTTAATGAACGTTAAAAGCTTGGTTTTATTATAGAAACCCTTCTCGCTTGACTTATCATGGACAACCATGTCTTTCCACAGACATTGTCGACCTGGTCTCAGTGAGGATATACAGCGTCCTGTTTACAAACAGTCTCTGCATGAAGGAATGTAACAGACGTTCAAGACTGAGAAGGTAATAGAGATGTTTGAAATAGAACTGTGGAATCCTGGAGCACGCAGTCGCTTACGTCTTCAAAGAATTATATATTTAAATGCGGAATTAAAAGGGTATTTTTAGACGTGTTACCAAGCTGGCATCTGCTTAGAGCCGCAGTAATTACTCTAACAAATGTGTAAAACTGTTTTTCGTGGAATAATGTTTTTTTTAACTGATGGACTATGAACGTTATGGCCAATATTCAGCATGCAACGATAAGCTTCGAAACGAGTGTTTCCCAGCCCTGCGTCCTCTCTGAGCTATCAATTGACGTCTCCGGGCCGGTAGCTCAGCATGTCAGCTATCAGTGTGCGCCGGGCTTCAAATCTTGCATTTATAAATAGTCGTTTTGTATTCATTACTCTTCGCCATGGTTACTGAACTAAAAACAGGTTGAAGTACCTTTTGTCTCCTGTCCTTCCTTGCCTCCCAGACAGACGCTGGTATTAAGGGACTCTGGCAAGTCGCTGCAGTTCAGGATAAATAGCCAGGGTGTCTCAGTCAAGTCAAAGAAGGCACGGCAACGTCTGAATGTCGCTATAATTGAAAATTTGAATATATACATTCAGTCCATCAACTTGTGGTATTACAAAGTTATATATATATATCACTTGTACACCTTTTGTTGTTGGCGAAAGTAGCTCTTGAATAGTTCCTCAAGCAGTCGCTAGCCCAACGTAAATGGGACATTTAAGTGTTATTAAAATATCAGAAAATAATTCCTAACATGAAAATGACACCTTACCTTCACAAAGACTTCTACACGGGGGAATCAAAGTGTTTGTTCCAACACATTTTGGATTGGTCGTATAGCAAGAGAAAAGTTCCAAATATTTATAGCACTTAAAGGTCCTGTGGATATAGACGACTTTCCTGTGATACTCCAAGGCGGCGTCTCTGGATCTGAACCCCAGGATGTTGGGGAATATCGTGGCGTTGTAATCGACACTGCAAACACCAGGTTCTATAGGAACGCACACGTCTGAGGCAAGAAGAAAACGAAGTAGCATCGTCAAAAGCATTTTAAGGAGTGCCTATATTCACTGCTGTAGTGATTTAAGGCAGTGAAATGTACTTTGGAGTTGAAAGGTCTTTAAAGCATTTGGCAGCCCTGCGCCCCTAGCAGACTGCAGTTTTACGTCTGTTATAATCAGAAATTCAGGGCATTGACCCCTTCTTTTACAAAACAAATTATGTTTTACATATTTCGCTTGAAAAACGTAACTTGACACTCAGAACCATACGGGATAACACACTTTATTTCTATACCCGCTTTTTTTTTCAAATTTTGGATGGAACATTTTACTCCAAAGTTTTAATAAACATAGGGTCTAATACGGGGAATAAGCCCCAATATGAAGTACCTGTGATGGGAGTTGGCACGCACACGTCCGGGTCAGCAGACTCCGGGAGAGTGGAACAGTCCAAGAACCACGCATGTCTAGACTGAGAGCAACTTCTTTCAGCATCTGAAGACAACGGGAGGACATGAGCCAGATGTGAAATATTATTAAATAAACACGAACGAAAATTTAAAAAATAATATCCACAAATATATTTGAACGAATTTTGATGAATAATAATATTAATAAAATAAATATATGCATGTATAAGATAAGGGCCATAGCACTACCGTTAGGTAATAAAAGCAGAGTCTTCTTGCTCCTCTGAAAATTCCGAGACACTTTTACTTTTCGTTGCAGTAGCAATGATGTTATTGCCGGCAATAGTCAATACTATACGGCAAAGCAATAGGACTGAACTGAGCCAACATTTTAGTCTTATTTTGATCACGTGTACTCACCTATACAAAAAGAGCGGCACGGTAATACTGGACCACCATTAGCACACCGTGGGGCCACCGCTGCACAGAAAAACTCTCTTTTGAACGCGTAGCAGTCGCTGTCCCAAAACCAGGTCACTGACCGAGAGCCAGATGTTAAAAAGTCTCTGAATGACATGTGACCCAGAGCATTTGGGAACGCTGAAGAATTATAAAGCTTGTAAAAACACAGTGGTAAAAATACCGGTGATACACAAACTGGAGGCCGAGGTGTCGTGGACAGTGACATGTCTGAAAATAGAAAAATAATCATATTCTTCATATCAAATATACACCTTATATCGATTAAGTGACCTGAGAATAGATAATATTATCAAATAAACACGGTGCATAAACTATCGCCAAAAAGGTTATAGAGAATTACTCGGAAATATTAGTAAATTAATTTACACGTCGAAAAAGGAACATTTTGAAGCATTATAATAAAAAGAAGAAGCAAAAAAAAACCACCCACTTGCACAGTATTTAGATGTTTAAAGTAAGAACTGTCAAATGAAAACTATAAGACGTTTCAGGATGTTACGAATATCAATGTTTACAAATATCTTTGCATTGTGTGGCAAAACCAGAATTTTAAAACTAGAGTCAAAGAACTGAAAGGATCCACGAGCGTTGAAAAAGAACGTTTGAATTTATTGGGTTATTGCCTGTTAGTTGGTGCATATTCCTTAAATATATCACCTGCTTTGGATACTGTTAACGAATCTCTGTCGAAGATAAAGCTGCCTGATGTTCCGTTCTTGGAAATAGCATGTAGTGTAGCGTTCCTGACGTCATTGCTGGGGACAGCCCGGAGCATGCGCACTGCATAGTTCACTAGAACGCTGCCACTTCTGAGAAATGTTCAAATTATTGCAACAAGCACTCCAGGTCACATACATACATACATACAGAACACACATGTAGGCTACTGGTATATATCCATTTCGTGTTGAATGTTAAAAAATTAAATATGCTAAGCAAGCATCAATCGTATTTTTAAAAATATCGAAACTAAAATCGTTTGTAAAACATGCATGTACGACTGCAGATTATACCTTTCCACTTTAGAATACCATCTATAGGAGTTCACTTTATTCTATCAGGTGTCAGATCCCAAAACGTTGAAAGATCTAGTTTTAAGATGAATCGAACCAATGCGAGGTATAATTTAATTGAAAATCCTCACCTGAATGAAAGAACTTCTGTTGAATTGTAGATGTCTTGATACTGGCTCTGCATAAATATCCTGTTCATCTACAAAACAGAAACATTTTATCAAATATTTATGTTTAAAATCGAAATGACAGATTTTGTTAAATACGATAGTTTTCCGTGAAGTATGGCACGATATAATATTCTAATTCAAAATATAAATCAGCAAGACAGAAATTTTGAAAACGCATCACGCATGCGGCCAAATGGCAGCAAAACACCATGTCCCGCTTTGCAATTTTGGCCTATCATCTCAGTATTGATGTCCACACGGAGGCTTATAAGCTACATGTATATGGTATTTTAAAATGTGGTTTACACAAACCTGCTACACCAGGGACAACATTATGTAGCATTTATTTGAATTTAATACAAGAAAAAAACAACATATTATCAATATTTAGGGGCTTTTTTTTTTCTTCACCCGAACCCGAACCGAACCAATGGTAATGCGTACAGTGGAGATGGATACCTACTTCTTCCTGGAACGCTTTTGATAAATCTATAAATAGTGGCGAAGAGGTATTTAAAAGTTGAGCAGTAAATCTATTATATGGCCCGCCGACTATTCTGATCCTACAGTGATATATTTGTGGATGTGGAGAAACTGAAATAAGAAAATACCTAGGGTCGAAACAAATGATTTCTTGAATTTACACAAGGAAATATATTCATATATATTAACCTGAAATTGCCTCCAACACAGGGCACTCAAATTGATAAGTAACCAGATTATAATTTACAAACATGAAACAAAGTTTTCCTCAAAGGAAATCATAACAAAAATAATTTAAAAGTAATTTTAATTCCTTGACATGCACGGGGTTTAATGAGTCAGGATTAGCTGTACCTGGGGTGCCTTGAGAAACGACGGACTCTGTGGAAAACGTTGATTGTCCGTTTGTAAAGAGATCATCCCTTGTTGTGTCAAATATAACTGTTTCGCCTGAAAATAATGTTAAATGCTTAAAAGAGTTTAAATTAATAAGAGATATTAGCACGATGATCAGATTGTGAGGTCTTTTTGAGAAGTAAAAGTGCCATGGAGCACCGATTACTCTTCAGCGTTGTGCAATCTTGTTCGTTCACAACGATTGTTTTACAAAAAGGTCCAAGGAATCTTGCTGTTATGTTATCAGCATGTGTACAAATCTTGACTTGATACTGCTACCATAAGGGACTTCCAGTACTTACCTTGCTCGGGGAGAAACACTACAAGTACAGCTATAATGGCTGCTGTCAAGGAAACAGCGCAAAAAACTGCCATGAAGATAACTACTTGCTTTCTACGGCTTCTTTTGCTTGTAAAAATAGGGTAGTGTGAAGTATTTTGGATTATTCCTGTATTTTGTGGGTTTTCCTCCATCGTTTTGCTAAATCTGGGATTTCTGTCCCCGAAACAGTCTCTGCTGCTAAGAGGCAAGTACGTTTCACCCTGCTGGTCGGCCATGTATGATTTGTTGTCGTAGCAGTTCTGAGGAGGAATAAACAAATGCATGCAGTTCATTAGAGCAAGTTCAGAATACCTTCTGATAACTCTGGGGTCTCCAGCTTAGTACACAAAGCTGAAGAAGAGGGTTTGTAAGGACCCATTCCACTGCACACCAGAGGTTTACGTGGATCGACCTAAATCTGGGGGAACTCTCGCTGAAATGCCTCCTTCATTTTAACGTAAGGAGAACTATCAAAACCAGAAAGTAACCCCTTCTCACTTTATTATTGACATTTCTAAATCGCAATATTTAGTGGCGTATAATGGTTAAAGTCCATATAATATCAAGGCACGATATAGTGGAGACAATCATGATTTATGAAAAATAAACAATACCCCCATAACCTCCCTTCTCCCCCCCCCCCCCCAGGGGCGGATTTAGGCCGTCTTCTGGGTCTTCCGGAAGACGGTCAGATTTTCAAGTTTACATTGACGGGTATCTAATTTTTTCTGTCGGAAGACGGTCAAAAAATAGAGGATGGATCAACAAAATATAATATGGAAGACCGTCAGAAAATATCTCTGGATCCGCCCCTG